TTAGAAAACATTACAATATATATATATAATTAATTAAATGGAAAGGTAATAATTTTCTAGGAAATATATTTTAGATATTTATTTTTGTTAACTATTCTATCAAAATCAGTAAAATTTAATATTTTGTATAAATATTTACTAAAAGTAAATGATGTTAAAATTTTTTAATTTGGTTCCTTTTGCTAGTTCTTGATTTCTGGACTAATACTTTGCTTTTGGACTCAACATAACTATATTTATCTGAGTGACCTTGTTGTCCTTTACCTATCCTGAAAATTAGCTTTTTATGATTATACACATTCTGTAAATTTGTTTTGAAATAATAAAAATTTAGACTTTAAAAAAAATGGAATCAGTCAAAATTAGATATGATTATTTTTAACTTATGCTAAATATATATTTTAAAATATAAAACATTTTCAGTTTTTATTTTACAATTTAAGTATAAAAGCTTTGTGTTAAATCTCAAGCGATTTTTATCTCCAGTATTATTGATTGTAATGATTTTTTTTTCTCCTTTCAGTTATGTCAATTAGGATGTGATATGCACTAACACACATTGCCTTTGAAACAACGAGATTGAATACTCCTTTTGGGTTTTACATGTATATAGACTGTATTATTTACCGCTATATCCTAAGATATGTGAAATATGTTATAAAAGCTGGCTTTTTATTTTCACTCTGTATTTTATATATCATCCAGTTCCATTAAAAATTTATATTTCTTATTGAATTTGTTTTAATAATTTATGATTGGTTATTATTTGTTTTAAAAGTCTGTAGTGATTTAATTTTTCCTCTGTTGACTTCTACATCATCCATCTTTACTCAGATGTTTGTGTTATAGCAGATCCCACTTTTTGAAATCCTAAAAATTCCTTAAATGTTCCCTATTTTCGGAATCCTAAACGGTTACCATTCGTATAATAGAAGCCGGATACTTTATAGATAAAGCTCATCAGCAATGGTGAACATATTAACCAAAGGAAGACAAATTTTTTAAGTAAAATCTGAATGTAATAAACAATTGAATTCACAGCTCTGGATCAGCATCTAGTATAGCTCTAAATTTTGTTTTTCAAGTATGTATAAGCTGAAAATGAATAAAACTAGCTGAATTGTAGTTTTTGTTGAAAAGATACCAAAAAAAAGAACTGTTATAAGTGTCGAGAAAACGGATATCAGGATAACCTATTTCCTTAATGTTGAATTTAGTTATTTTATTTGAGCTGTGATGGCTCAGAGGTTTAGGCATTGAACTGTCACTGTGAAGAACTGGGGTTTGATTCCCAGTGGCAATTTAAAGTCGACCCATCTTCAGATCAATGCATATCAGATTATCTGAAAAGGAAATGTTGCTTGGGTGCAATGCTGACTAAATTGTTTTCAACTTGATTGCATCTTTGTTTTTCAGCTTTTTTTGTTTTTGTTTCTTCTAAGCTGTCATTTAAAGTGGGAAATACATTAAATGGTCTGAAAGATAGATGATTTGTTAGATTTTCTTTTAATTGTAAAAAAAAAAAAAAAAGTCTTATCATTTTTTTAAAAATGCAGTTGGTGTAAACACCTCTCTAAACTGCAAAATTGGAAGGATTAATTGCGCTATTACTTTTCCTAAAAAAACTGAATAAAACGAAATTTCTAGTTTAAATTTAAGAATAAATAATTTTTTTAACAACTTTTGTATGTTCAAAATAAAATCATTCAAATTTCAATAAAAACTTTTGACAGACCTTAAAAAATATTTTTAGTTAATCCATTGATGACAGTTTTTAGTTTCCTGCATTAAACGAATTAAGAAATAGGTCAATTGAATCCTTTGTTGTTTGATGCTTTTTTAGTTTGATGCCAGTTTTCGGCATTGCAATATAATATTTAAGATAAATATTCTTGGATAGTTGAATAATGGATTTCACCAATAATTAATTTTATTTTGCACCCCTTAGCTTAATAATATTTCCTCCATGAAAATTAAACAATATTAAATAGATTGATTTTTCAGCTCTCTAACGGTAATTAATATGTCATGCCATCTATTTAAGGAAGAAACACAAAGAAAGAGTTCCTGCTGCTCAGTGCGTTTCATATTTACAGACTTAAAAGTTGTGGCCAGCTGTATAAACCAATGGGTTAATAGTTTCTTATGTATTTTTAAAGCTATTTATCCTCTACGTTTAAAATAAATCGCATACTTGTGATTGAGTTTAAAAACTAAATCATAACATTTTTTTAAAGCCTCATACAGAATTTAATTAGATAATTACAATAAAGCATATTTAATATATAAATAGCCCTTCCATTTTATTTTATTAATCACATGAACAATAAAAATGTAGACAGCTCATGTTTTTAAAAATTGTATTGGCTATATCCTCTGTAGCTCGAACCATTACGGAAACTTGCATTTAATGCATTTCTTGAGCTGTCATACAGAGTTCTCATGTCTCTAGTTTCCTTTTCAAGATCATCTATAGCTTCACGAATCTTTGTTTCTAGTTTGGCTTGGGACGAGTCTTCATCTAGAGTTAGGCCTTGAAGCCTCATAATCTCTCTCTGCTCTCTGAACATGATGGCTCTATTAACACCAGAGTCGATTCTTGAAGCCATTGCATTTTTATCTTTTGGATCACGACTTCTTCCCCAAGTATCATAAATACCATACAAAGCTTTACCAGCGGATTCGCAAGCATCAAGTACAGCTGGATTGCTATCAATGTAACTCCCTACGGAATTGCTGATTTCTTTAAACACTTCAACTTTAGACACTTGCTGAAAAAATCCATCAACTGCTTCAATCACTTGGGTCATACTGTTGCTGTTGCTTTTTACTACTAACCACATATCTTCCGTTTTTAAAGACCGTGATATTTTGCCAACGGTTGAGTCGAATGTTTCGGAGTGGTAACGACGAATTATTTCCTCCACATTATGGTACTGGGCAAAGCATTTGGATCTTATTTTGTGCAAGGGTTTGGTTATTTCAGCATCATTTTCCATTATTTCTGCAAATGTTGCCATATATTTATCTACATTGCAGGCTTGCACTATTGAATTCACACCATCCACAGCGTCTGTGAGGAAAACAGCTAAAGAAGCAAAGAAATCTACGTTGGGATTATTCGTATTTTTGAATTCACGGGATGCCATGTTGGCTTCTTTAAACATTAAACCTGTTTTGTTGAAGGCCAACTGATCTTTGTGTACATCAGCCACTAGTTCCTCTAGCTTTGATAATGTGTTCTGTCTCTCTCTCGACCACTCCAAGTAGACCCTACGGAAATCATTCATAGCTGATTCATACGTTTGTATGCTTCCATTGATATCTGAGCAAAATTTAGATTCTGCTGATTCTGTGTCTCTGTTGTCGTCAAAATCGTTTGACAAAAATGGAAGGGTGTTGTTTTTGGCTTTGGGTCTTGCTCCTCCGCTATACTTTTTGCTACGAGGCATTTTGGTTTTTCTGAGTATTTCACCTAGGAAGAAAAATTTTTTTTTTTAATATTAACTAAATAAAAAACATTCATAAAAAACAAGTAACGTTTTTTAATTTTAGTTATAGACATCTAAAATCGAATTGATTGGAACGGGCAGGGGTTGACGGTCAAATGGGTTCCTTAATATTCACCTTTAAACTACAATATTAACTCTGTTTCACTCACCTTGAAAAAAAGGTAAAGAGAGAAATAATAGAAGAGGAATAAATTAAACCTTTTAAACTTATTTACCAAAATGCTTTATTTAAAAAAAAAGAAGGTAAAAACTCTGTAGTAAGAATACTTTATGCTTCCTTACTGCCTTTATTTCCAATTTATCATCAATCTAAATTCAGTGACTTTCTGGCTAACTAAAATGCTCAAATCTCCGCTGGAGCTCTGCGTCTGATGATGACCTTACTAGTTTCAATTGTTTTTTTGAATCGTACTACACATATCAACAAAGGCAATTTTTTAATACTAGTTTCAATAGTTTTCTGAATCTTACTTCGCAATTATCAATAAAGGTAATTCTTGAATACAAGTTTTAACTGCTTTCTAAATCTTTTATCCAAAAAGGCAATTTTTCAATACAAGTTTCAATAGTTTTCTGAATCCTTTATGAACGAAGGCAATTTTTTAATACAAGATTTAATAGTTTTCTGAATCCTTTATGAACGAAGGCAATTTTTTAATACAAGATTTAATATTTTTCTGAATCCTTTATGAACGAAAGTAATTTTTCAATACAAGATTGAATAGTTTTCTGAATCTTTTGTGAACAAAGGCAATTTTTCAATACAAGATTTAATAGTTTTCTGAATCCTACTTCGCATTATCAACAAAGATAATTTTTCAATGCAAATCTCAATCGCTTTCTGAATCTTAATACATATTATGAACTAAGGCAATTTTTCGTCAATCAAAATTTTGCTCACTGTCTAAATAGCTAGGTCGCTAACATTTTAATAGAGGTTGTGTGCTACAGATAATAAGTTTAACTGTTTCTTGATCGCATATCTTTTACTCTATACGAGGATAAATTTTTCAAGCGGTAGGAAAAAGACGATATATAATGGGCAAGTTTTCATTTTATGACGTAGCTAAGTTATTTATTAAGGTATCTTATATGACTAGTGCAAAAACCTGATTTTGGGTAAAATTTTCGAAATCGAGTTTATTATAAATTTTGCATCCTTGTACTCTTAGCTTTCTAAAAAATATTTTACTTTTGTTTCTACTCTAATTATTTGCATAGTTATTGCAGTTTTTGTGCAAAATGATAACAGTGGATAGACTATTTAATTTTAAGTTTTTAATACGTTTATCAGAATTTTTTCTTCACATTTTACACTAAACAAGATTTCTCACGTTGTATTTAAAATAATTGTCTACAATTTTTCATGAATGTTTATGATAGCACAGATGTTTTGCTATGAGGCTAACAAACATTTAAAATGAAACAGCTAAGTGGCTCCGCCCCATTCGCGTTGTCAATTCTTGGTGAAAATAAGTTTTAATAATTTGGAAGGGCTTAATAGTATCGTTTGAACAACATGAACCAAATCTNTTAAATTAATAAAATCCAATTATTAAAATAAAATTTATTAATTTGTAATTCCATTTTAAAATTGAAATACTTCCGTAGAGAATGGCACCTCTGTAAACGTTCCATTTCAGTCGAAGTTTCGCCAAACTTTTCGACTAGTTAGAGACCTCGAATTTCAATTGGAAATCTATACGAGACGTTAATGCAAGATTCAATTTGTTTCTAAAGTAATATGAGCAAAATGTATTGCTAATCGAAAATTTGAATATTTTCCGAAATGAATGTATTAACATGCTAAACTAAAAACAAGAAGAAAAAATTAAATAAAAAAATTAAAAATAAATTTTTTTATGTTAAGCTGAAAACGAGAAAATAATTTTTATTTAAGGCCTAACTAGTAACAAAAATCCTAGAACACTTTCCTAATAAAACACCACTGAAAATTCAAACTCTTTGTTCTGTTGTTCGAAAACGATTTAGCGTATGGATAGTACTGTATAAATGATGTCGCGTATGACAAAAGTATTTTTTCCCTTCAAGTATATTTTAAACTTAATTTTTAATTTTCTAAAATTTAATTTAACTATCTACCACTACTTACGTTATTTCGGATAAGAATCATCCATTTAGTGGAATTACACAAATTTTACAAAAATTTAAAACTGATACCAAAAAGTAGTCGTTCGTAATCATCCTTTAAAGGGCCTGGGTATGTAAAAATGTCTAGTGTTTATAAATGTATTAAAATTTCATCGTTGGATTAGATAACAGATCCCCTTCTGAGCAAGATAGCTTTATCTCTAAATGACTTCGGAAAATGATGCCGGATCTGACAAGGAATTTTCCAAATGATTAATAGATTAAATATTTAGATAAAATTGAGAATATTGCTTTTAGTAAAAGATTGTTTTTTTTATTATCAGAAATTATAACTTTTTGCTTGTTGTTCATGGAAAAACAGTTGAGATATTTAAGTAAATACTGGAATTTAAAATTAATCGAATTAATATTCTCAAAAGTAGGATTTCTATAAAATACGGTCCTTTTTCTATTATGATGCAAAAGGAAAATTATTAATACTAGCTTACAAAAATTCAGTTTTAAAAATGATAATTAATTATTAAAAGAAGGTTTTTAGTGAAATGAGTTCTTCACCAATAATATATAAAATCCATAATACAAACGTAGAAAGATACTATTTTAATAATGAAAATTGATTCTTAAAAGTATGATTTCAATAAAATGCGTTTTTTTTGTGATAATACAATTAAGTAACAATAAACATAAAATTAATAATACAAAAAATAAATTAAAATTAATTCTTAAAAATCGGATTTTAATAAAATTCGTTCTTCGGAAAAATAAAATTTATTTAACAATTATAAAACATGAATTAATTTTTTCTCCACAGGTCTTTTTAATAAAATCACTTTCGAAAAAAAAAATAGTTTTAGAAATAGGCCAGAGCCTTTATCAATAATTATAATTTAAAAACTATAACACGGAAGTAGTTTGATGAAAACTGTAGCTTGTTTAAAAGTTTTTGGTTTGGTATGAATGCATGCTCAGATTCACAGCGATGTAAAATATTATCAGATCATGTGCCAGAATTTCCTTGTCTTTCGGATTAAACGTGGGATTAATATATATATATATATATAGTTANAAAAACTATAACACGGAAGTAGTTTGATGAAAACTGTAGCTTGTTTAAAAGTTTTTGGTTTGGTCGAGTATGAATGCATGCTCAGATTCACAGAGATGTAAAATATTATCAGATCATGTGCCAGAATATCCTCGTCTTTCGGATTAAACGTGGGAGGTTTTCGTTGTTTTCTTCGCTTTGCAAACACTTCGAGTTAAATTCACAAAGTCCTTTCCGAAGCTTGCCCCTCTGCTTGCCAAGAGTTTACTTGTCTTCTATGTTCGGTTCCGAATTACAACGTTAGGCAGTTTAAAGTTGATAGACATAAATCCTAAATGGTTAATAGTAATGAAGTTAATGTATTAACTTCAAGGATATGCCAAGTTTGCTGAAACTAGTTTTCAAAAACTTTGAATTAGGGGTAATACGGGCCTTCATTATCCCATGGATGCTTTTTTGATGTCGTACTGAATAATGTCGTTAATTTTAGAACAATACTTTGGTATGAAAATTAAAAAGATTGTAAAATGACAATTATTTCTGGCGGTAACTAGGAGGACAAAATTCACACTTAAACTCATGACTGACGTNATAAATTAGTTAAGACTGAAATAATTAAAAACAAAACTAACTAAACAGATGCATTCGGTAAAAAGAAGAAAAAAACCAAGCAAAGAAATGAAAACGTTTATCAAATCATATTTTGAGAATTGTACTTTTTTACATGATATTGATGCTTTTTTAAATTTATTTATAAAGTTAAGTTAGTTTTAATATTTCTAAATTAAGCAGAAACTATGTCAAACTCTACTTTAAGTCTGAAATATAATATTCACCACGTTTGTAATACAAGTAATATAGTTTATTTTATTTATTTATTTACACATTTTTTTTTTGCACAGTAGTACGGTAGATATGATTAATATTTTAGTTTAAACACATTTTGTCTTTTGTTTCAGACATAAATATCGGCATGTAAGAGCATTCTATAGAATGTATAAATATAGAGATAAACAAAATTGGTTTAAACAAATTACTGACATTATTTTACCACTATTGTCTGACTGATTAACACAAGGAAATATTTCAGTGTCCTTAAAAAAATGTACTTACTTCTAAATAAGAACTTTACCATATTTCGTGAAAAATTGGTGTTTTAATAATATTAAATTCGATTACACGGAAATATTTTCTTAAAATCTTTCACTAGACGGGAAAGCATAAGATGGTGACGTCAGAAAAAAAACTTGTTTGAGAAAATAATTTTTTATTCTTTTCCTATTAACTTTTTTTACTGGATGAAACACCCAAAAGAGATTTTTTTCCTTCAAATTTTATACGTCAGTATATCTTGTAATTTTAAAGCCAGAATATTGATTTTACTCGACTTTAAAAAAAAATATTTATATCTATCAATTTTTTTGCTTTAAATTTACACTAGATTCTTTTAAAAAACATTACACCGCATTTTATGAATATTTTTACACTGGATTCTTTTAGGAAACATTACACCGCATTTTATTAATATTTTTACACTAGATTCTTTTAGAAAACATTACACGGCATTTTAGGAATATTTTTACACTAGATCCTTTTAGAAAACACTACACCGCATTTCAGGAATATTTTTACACTAGATTCTTTTAGAAAACATTACACCGGATTTCAGGAATATTTTTACACTAGATTCTTTTAGAAAACATTACATCGCATTTTAGGAATATTTTTACACTAGATTCTTTTAGAAAACACTACACCGCATTTCAGGAATATTTTTACACTAGATTCTTTTAGAAAACATTACACAGCATTTTAGGAATATTTTTATACTAGATTCTTTTAGAGTACACTAGATTCTTGTAGAAAACATTAAACCGCATTTTAGGTATATTTTAACACTAGATTCTTTTAGAAAAAATTACACTGCATTTTAGGAATATTTTTACACTAGATTCTTTTAGAGTACACTAGATTCTTTTAGAAAACATTACCCCGCATTTTAGGAATATTTTCATGCCAAATAACTATTTATAACATCTTCAATTTAGCACTACTTCATGATAATAAAATATGACTACTAACTACTGACCATTGTTTTTTGTCGCAGATAAAACGAAGAACGTTATAAAGTTGAAAAACGTGGGGGATTATAGTGGTCGAAGTTTATTAAGAAAGTGTTGCGCCCTATGTTTTACAAAAATAGAATAAATTCTTTCCTTTCAACAATTTAGTTAGTTTGATAATCGAAATCATATCAGAAATGAATAGAAATTTCGATTGGCGATAAATTTTGCTAGCACCATTTAGGAAACAATTGTAGCTTTTATCGGTGTCAGACCCAAAGCTCCAGTGGGAGAAAGGACACTCTAGTTACTCGGAAAGTGGTCGAAATTTCAATAATATTCTGTTTATTTCTAATTCAATAAAATCTGAATACGTTGTCCCAAGGAAAAAATGTTTAGTGAAATATCGGAAATTCTGTAGCAGTTGAAGGATATAAATTAAGCGATTGAAATTTTTATGTCATTCAGCACACAGTTCCAATTTAAATTTGAGCACAATAGCTAGGCGGAATGTGGTTAAGTTGATAAGATAAGTTCCATTTAGCAGTACAATTTGTTTGCAGTGGTTCGAAAACGATTGAAACTTGTATTTTGAACAGGCACAAAATGTCAGCTGAAACTTGAGGACTCCAGTAATTCGGAAAGTGGCTGGTATTTTGATTATTGATTAATTCTATTCAGTGTTAAAAAACACTTTTAATTTTGCTATTGGTAGTTAGAAAACAATATGGAGCTTAATTAAATATATTTTAAAATTGAGATTTTTTTTTTAAAGATTTTTTAGCAGAGATTCTAGTTGTCTAGTTAGTTACCTAGCGATGGCAGGCTGTTACGAACTTTGCTCCAGACTCGCACCCACCACAGTATTGACGTAAGATATCCTTTTGATTGACGGATTATGGGTTAGAATCCCCTTGACATCGGGCTAATCATGGCAGGTTTTCGCAGTTTTCTTCTACATGTAACGCAAATACGAGTTAGTTCCATCAAAAAGTCCTTCTCGAAGGCTAGCTTGTTCCAATTCTTGATAAAAGAGTTCCTTTGTCTTCTGGGTTGGGTTCAAAATTACAAAGCTACGGAGTTGAACATTGATACAGTTTGACTTCCAAATGTTATCGAAATTATACAGTTTTAATTTAGTGAGTGTTTTTTGTGCGGAAATACCACTGGTCGATGAATAAACTCTAGCTTCAATAAAAATGATCCCTGATATAATTATGCGTAAAAACAAGCTTACCAATTATGAAAGACATAACTATTTTAAATAGATAAACAATTATGTTTAAGTTTGCATTTAATTTTATATCATAAAAATAAGTCAGCTTTAAAGCTACTTTGTTTGAGATACTTAGTTCTTTCTAAAATAACTTTTTTTCTTCCTAATTTAACTTTCAACAAAATAAATCATTGATAGCATCGTTTTTAGTTCATTTTGATTGTAACATGAGGTAACTGTAACACAAATATTTCGAATACATTTTAATCTAATTTGTTAACATGTTAATCTTGTTTTGTTAAAATTTTTTGCTAAAACTTTTTGTTTTGATATTTTTTTTTGTGTTTCCTTTATTAACCTTTTCCGGATTTGGTACGAAGGATTGCCCGAATGAGTCGTCTTCAATTAGGATGTAATGCTGTTAATTCTTCAGCATTGTAAACCTTAGAAATATTCATATTCAATAATAAACTAACAAATTTAGTTCATTTCAGAAAATACTAAGATATACTGACAGTGGATAATTTATTAAAATTAAATTTTTAATTTAAATAAAAAAATATTAAACTTAAAATTCAATTTTTTTTTTAAATTTAAATTAAATTTATGAAATTAATATATGCAATAAATATTTTGAATGTTTTTTTTTTTGCATATGTAAAAGTAAAAAAAATTAAAGTTACAGTCAATCCAATAAAACAAGTAATAAATATTAGTTATCAAACCCTCAAATTGTATAAGTCTTTTACTTGTGATTACGCTTAAAATAGGAACCAAATTACCAAAAATAAAACAGCATAAAAACACAAATTTAAAATATTTTCGAAGAACTCTTGAAAGCTCGGTTTTTTAAAAAAATGATAAAATCTTGGTTTTTGATTACAAAAAGAAAGAAAAAAATCAGGTGCACTGGATGCATTTTTTTATTTTACTTATTGTGACGTATTTATTTATTTACACAGCTAAAATTTGAATAGTGCCTTGGGCCCCTTAGAAATTTTTAAAATAAATAAATAAACTAATATAAGTATTTTAAAATAAAACATTTATTTAAAAAAACAAAACAAAAGTAGACGGAACGTAATAGGTTTTATAATTTAAATCGTAATTTAATAATTCAACTCATTTGTCTCTTTGTCTATTCTATCAATACCTCCTAGAGGAGGTATTGATTCTATCCCGAAGAGTTTTTAAAGTATTTTTCATGCTGTTAACGAACTGTTCGAATTGTTAAAGGGTTTAATTTAAAAACAAAACAAAATGACTTACCTTGAGAGAAATATACCTGTCAACGGTGATGCCGAAAGTTCTAACGGTTACTCGCTAAAAGCAAACATATTAATGGTAATCAATTTAGGTAGTCTGATTTTATTGTGTCAGGTGCAAGGGAAATTCCCTTTTTCTTCAATATCTGAACAAAAAATTCCGTTTGACTTGGAAGTAAAAAAGTGTTATCATTTCAACAGGTGTGTTATCAACATGGAACGGGAGAGGTTAAATATATATTAAGCTCCCAGTTTCAGAGATTATTTGGAAAAATAAATTTATTCATTTATTTATGCAAATAATCACAATGATAGATTAAATTTTTTTTAAATTTTGTATTCACAAATTGTATTAAAATAATCGTTATAAAATAACGGTTTTGATAATAATTGTCATTCTATCTTTACATTTGAATAATAGAATCTATATGTAAATATTTAAAATCCCAAAATAAAACGAACATTTTAAAGAATACGTTCTTGTTCTTCAAGTAGATTAAAAAGGGAAAAATAATTTTATTTTATAAGATCTAAAACGAAAAACATAAGGTACATCTCTCTCGAAATATGTGTAAGGGTAGTTTCGTTAGTGATACAAGTTAATTACAAAAGTAATAAAAATTTGCCTTAAATTTCTGGTTTTACGTCTGACAAAAATAGAATTTTTCTTCTTTTTCATCTATGTAAAAAAGGCAGTTTTTGAAAATTTCCTATCTGAGCATAGTTTTTGTAGATCCAAAAAAAAAAAAAAAAAAAAAAAAAAAAAAAAAAAAAAAAAAAAANAGAAGAAAAAAGAAAAAGAAAGCAGCAATGAAAATTGGCAAAGAATTAAAGTTAGCTTTATTATGTAGTGCATTATTATTTATTTTTGCCACTATGTAGTGCTTTATAATTATTTATTATTTATTTTCTACCGGCGGAGATTTTCCGAAAAATATTTAAAGTGCAAGCTGCATTTTTTGGTTTAAAATTGATTTTAACCTCCTAGAAAAATAAATCACTTAAGTTTTAATAAAAAGGGATTTGAGCCCCACTTACTGAAAGGACTGAATACGATCTTACTTTTTTTTCAACAGTCTAAGAATATCTTTTTTTGGATCTGAATAATGTTTAACTACGTTTAAGTGTGGCTTGAAGTCACCCAACTCCAGATCAATGGGATACCAGTTTGTTTAAAATGTAAAGGCGGTTGGTGCGCAGAGCTTAATTGCATTGCCCTCATCATTTTGTTGGTCACGAAATTGTGGAATCGCAACATTCATAACCCCCCAACTGCGCACATGGGTTGTTTTTTTATTTTATTTTATATCCAGCGTTGAACAGCCGAACCAAATCTAACTTTACGATTATCAATGTTCAACTCCGTAGCCTTGTAATTTTGAGCCCAATTTAGAAGACAAGGAAACTCTTAAATCAAACATTTAGGCAAAGTAGTCATCATGGAGGACTTTTTGAAGGAACTTACTCGCATTTGAGTTACATGTGAGAAAAACCACGAAAATCCGCTGGGTTAAAAACGAAGGCAAGGGATTCTAACCTACGATTCATCTACCACTGAAGATATTTCACGTCAGTACTGTGGTCGGTGCGAGTCGGGAGCATAATTCGTATCAACCAGCCACCGCTGGAGTTCGCACCTGGGTCAAAGAATATATAGGGGTCAAAGAATATATATCCCCTATATATTCTTTGCCTGGGTTACCTCTTTGGGAGATGAATTCTCTATCCCCTGAGCCCCTGCGGCTCGCATGTGAGCTATTGCTGAAATGCTTGACTATATAAAGGACAGTCATTTTATTGTCGTGTCTGTTAGTGCTCGTGAAATTAAAAAAAAAAGAAAGAAAGAAAAAAAAGAAATCAAGTCTACTTTTATTATAATTTGACTACTACTTTGAAAATTGTCGAAAGCTACATGATAACTTCTTGATTCTTAGAATTTGCGATTAATCTTATGAGAGTTAGCCATGTTTCAGCATGAGCATTGTGCAAAAAATTGATCTAAATGAGAATTGAATAACTTGAACTTATTATTTTTTTATATTCTTTAAAGCAGTTTATATCGATAAATATTGTGCAGCATGCAAGAAGATAACAACTTGAATAGCTTTTAATCTGAAGATCTAATTTTTTCAATTTAATTACGAATTTTTATTAACTAGTAAGAAAACATCGTGCACAAAAAAAAAAAAAAAAAAAAAAAAAAAAAAAAATACATAAATTTTTTCTTTCAAAAAATGTAATTCAGCAACTTAATTTGAGTTGTTCATTAAGAGCAAGTTTAAAAATATTTCCTGAAAATGGCAATTTTGTAATTTTATTTCCGGTTTTTTTCCCCCGTACTGTCGGCTAAGTTTCTAATTATTAGCTTATCATTTCTAATTTTTACAGAGAACAGCAGTGCTTGGATAAGGAAAACAAACTGTCAGTTTTTTAGGCAATAAGTTGTAGCTAGGAAAAAACCGCTGATGTAGTTAATTTTTTCATCTTAAAGCTGCTAGTGTTAAATCTACTACTGATTTTATTCGTACAATAAACTCAGAGCTCCTAATTTTCGGAATAGACAAAATACTGGTAGTACGAACGTACCACTTTTATTTTATTTTTAATGGTGGAATTATTCTTAAATAGCTTTATTTATTAACAGATGTAATCCGTTTTTCCCAAATGGTGTTCCGTGGAACCATAGGGTTCCGTGGAACAGAGAAAGGGGTTCCGCGTTTTAGTATTTTTTAAATGAATTTTTAAACCATCAATTATATTTAGATCCTACCTATGATTTATAATTTGTGTGATCCTTCAGTTGTCTTTGTGAAATTATTTCTGGAAAATGCCAATGAAATAAAAATGGCATTTTTTAAAAGGAAACATAATATTTCTTATAACAATATATTGAATAATTATGAAAAGAACAAGCATTTATAAAATATTGCAATAGTGTTTCCTATCGTGGTTTTCGAATCAAAATAACAAAATTAAATAGCTAAGTTTTTTAATAAAGAAATATGCTTTCCTAATAACCATTTTCAACGCTTAGAGCAATTCTTTTAAAACTTTCACTTCTAAGTACTATAATTCGGCTTATTTTATTAATTTTCAGCTTATGTATGTACACCAAAAACAAACTATCATTCCTCTAATCTAGATACAACCCACGCACTACAAATACACGCACTCTCAGACATAAAAGCAAATTTAAGATTATTAATGATAAAACAACAAAAAAATTTTATTCATCTGATTGCTGAAAAAAAGTTAGAAACTGCTGCTCTGTCTTTCTTGTAGACTTGGACTGAATTATTCACGGAGTTGCGAAAATTCTCGCAAAAAATTGACAGCCTAGAATAAACTATTAATGATATTTTACAATAAGGCACGCAAACAATATTTATTTATTAGAATTATTGCAAGATTATGTAGATAGAATACATACAGGGTGTCCCAAAACGACCGCATAAACTCTGCAAAGCTAGATTCCACGTTGGGAGCACATAGAAATTGCCCAAAGAAGCGTTCCTGTACGATCCATAGTTTACGAGAAAAATACGAAAAACAAAGTATGACGTCACTGCCGGAGCAAGAAAAAAAAAACCCTCTATTGGACATATCAGCAACAGTATTTGCCTGCCCCGACATGCATGGCAGACACTTTGACCATCTGTTGACCATCTGCTTCAAATTGTGCATAATATACTGCTGTTGATATGTTCAATAAAGTGTTTTTTCTTGCACCGGCAGTGATGTTATACTTTGTTTTTCATATTTTTCTCGTACACTATGGATCGTACAGGAACCATAGGCAGTTTTTATGTACTCCCAACGAGGAACCTAGCTGTGCAGAGTTTATGCGGTCGTTTTGGGACACCCTGTATACGATAGCGTGAAACATTCAATAGATTATTACAATGAAACACATTAAATAAATAATATTTCAGCACTTACGACCAAACTTTTAAAATAACATATATGTGACAACTTTTAATGCTGTCTAAAAAGTAGTTCTTCCCTGAGATTGTTCATTTTCTGATTCATTGATCACCTTTAAGGTAAATTTTCAATAATTTTGGGGATTGTGGCAACGATACGAGTTGGGGCACCACTTCCTTTTACTATTTTCTGCGGCAATGCTGATATATATGCCCCGTACAGGGGCAGTTCTTTCTTAACTGCAACACTCTCTAAAAGGAACATCCCCTTTGGTAACATGGCAAAATGGCAAGGCAAGTTATCGGCGAAGAATGTTATGGCACTCTCAGGGGACAGTGTATCACTTCCGAGTCCTTTTATATTCCGGTTCTCAGCCAACCAATGGCAGGATTCTGCGGACATACCCGGGTAGTGCATTTGGGTTGCGTCTTCAGCTGTATTAACTGCACCCAGGTATGCAGCATGGTCTTTATATTTCTCTTCCCAACCCGTTCTGATTAAGACAATAGTTCCATTAAGGCTTTGACCAGTGCCGGACTCCCACTCTAGAAAATCTTCAATGTTCACTACGGCGTCTGCATTGAGCTTTGCCCGTTCAGTGATGTCTATTACAGCGGCCGGACCATGAAACTGTGAAACGGGCATTTCGTCTATGTTTATTCCATCTGGCACAATGTGGGATGGAGCGTCCATGTGAGTACCCGTATGGGAATTCTGAGAATATATTTCTGCTTTAAACCTGGAATAGAAAGAATTATCTTAAGGATTGCTGAGCTTAAATTTTTTCAATCATCATAGTGATTTAGCCCTTTTACTAATGCATACTTAATACTACGGAACAATCTCGTTACTCTATAGAACTTACGGAGAGCACGTGCACAGAAATGTATGGAATAAGCCATGTGATAGTGGTAAATCGGCCTGTATTATAATGATTATTATGTGAAAATGTAGTCGTTGTATAACATCTTAAATGTTGTTACAGTTATTTTTATAACAATACTTTAATTGGTGATTAGGCCTTGCCATGTGATTTAAATCAGATTTAATTGGACTCCTGTCGGCGAAGTCACACGTATGTGTCGGACTTGATTGGCTTCTCAATCGACAAATGCTAAGATTTACGTACAATGACGACGCTTTCAGGTATTTAACTGAAGAGTTTAGTGGAAGAATACCGAAGCGACATTCTATGTTATTCAACTACGATAAGTTTACAGGTGCAGAGTGTGCTTAAAGCGAATCCGTAGAGTTTACTCCAGCGAATTAGGGAAAGAATGCAAAGTAGTCAGTGAAACTAAGAATCAGAGAGTAATTCTGGAAAACTTATTTGACGTATTTTTTTTTTTAACATCGTTTAACAGCAGACCCAAATTTGAGTTTACGACTTATGTATTCATTAGTGTTTATTTTCCAATTGTACTTTAATTTTAACTTTTTTCAAGTACTTTTTTATTACTTGTAATTTTGTTATTACCTAATAATGGCAAAGTGCCATTTTTTCTGTCTTATCTCACGAACTCCATTTTGCTCCCCAAACTTTCTTTTTGTCATGTATATTTCTTAGTTTAATTTCAGGATGAATGGGTAAGGCCTCAGACGCCCAGTTCCATTACAACGAAGGAACAAACGAAGCTACCAGGTTCACTTCTTCGATAATAATCTAAATCACTAATATTTTCGCTCCGTTTGTAAATACGTATACACTAATTTTTTGGATTTGTAATAAATCACTCCGTTGTAAATATGTAAATACTAATTTTTTCGATTATGTATACATTTTATGTTGTTCGGACTTCTCGTATTCGTACTCGTATTTTACCAATTATTATTCGGATCCTTTTTTTTTTTTTGTACATATCTTTCATATTACTGTACTGTTCATTTTTATCACTCGATCGCCTACTTCCGTTGCCTTTAGCAAATATTTTTTGATGAAGAGACAAATCTCGCTCAATACCCTCACATTTAAGTTACCAGGCTAGCCTGAAATTGAACACAATTGATGACAAATAAAAAGCTATTTAAAAAGATTAGAATTCGCAACTTTTCTCTAGTATATTTCTTTCAGTTTGCTATTGCATGAGAAAGCAATTAATAGTTTCGTCTTAAATATACCTAATTAACAATGTAATAATGGTTACATAATGACAGTTACAATTTAATAACTACATTGATTAAATAAATAAAAATGAATTAAATTTCTATCATTTGCTAAATTTTCATTCGCACGTGGCAAGCATCAATGATATCATGTTGTGTTGCTTGTGAATTAAATTATCAGATTCAAATAGCTTAACGAATTTTTAACTTCTAAGCACATTAATTCACATATCATGGTAGAAATCACATAAATCTCGGTGCGCTGTCGCGAAGCGTCATTAACCAATTCATCTGTAGTAATAAATCGATGATAATTAAATTAAATATGTGTATAATTAAAATTGTA